CACTATTTTTAATCGTATTGTCAAAAAATTTGCTGTTTTTTGAATAGGAATCTTTCTTCCTTAGAACAGCAAAGGCGTGGGATGCATTGCTTTTGAACCTGGCATAATCTGTGTACATCTTCAAAAGCATGTCAAACATATCATTATAATAGCAGGCATCACTTATTATGATTGAGCTTTTTGAGTGTTTGTTGCTGTAACTATATCTCACATGTAGGTATTGTGTATGAAGGCCTGTGATAAGTGATAATACTCGATTTCTTTGCATCTGGTGGTAGGGTCAGTTGGTTGTACTTGTACTCTTTTTTCTGTTGCTCTGTAAGCGGGTAGTTTGTTGAACATCGTTGCATTCTATTCTAAATTTGTCATGAAAACTTATATAGACTTATAGTCTAATCAGACATTTGTGTTTGTTTATAGGTGGATCACTAGCAAAGTTGGCTTACTTCTCAAAAGTATCCCGGAAACGAATACGATATCCTAGTAGTAGTTCAAATGTGCTGGATCCAGCGGATGAGGTAGATGCATGTATGAAATAAAACGAGTGCACGAAATATTTGTTTTCTTGCCATTTCAAGGGTATACCTTTTAGATGTTATATCTCATCATTTGCCACATGCCTTTTTGTAAGTTTCCTATTCCAAGTTTCCTGTAGAAAGTATTTTTATTTCCTCTTTTGGTGTAAGAAAGTTAACTGATTAATGAATAAGTTAATATTCATTGTGAATAGCATGGTTTTATGATGGTAAAATCTACAGTTATCACATTCTGTGTGATTTTTGCATTGTCCCTGGCCTTATGTTGCATGTTGCAGCTAAATCCACCTGCCACTTTGAATGACCATGATCCTGTTGTGCATGAATGTTCATTTATGGTGTGTATACCACGTAGCTATACGTACGTATGCATAACTTTCAGTAGTAGATGCAGGTAGTAAACTTTATGTAGGAAAATTATTGATAAACGTAATTTTGAGAAAATGACTCATGTCAATATTATTTTCCCCTGATTTCATGTAAGTAAACTTTGCAGTAACATAACGTCACAACTCTCGAAATTCCTGTGTTTCTATGTGTGTTACTACAGAAAATCTATGATAACATTTTCAACTGAAATAGAAGCATTCATCTGTTTGATGACCTTTCAGTGTTTCTTTAGGCCCAGATAAATGTAATTTGCTCTCACTAACCAATGTTCTTCACTCTGACCTTTGTTGCACATTCAAGAGTTATTTTTGTTTCAATGACTAAATGTGTTCACCAAAATCAAATATTCTAAAGAGCAGAATTGTGCCATCAGTGTAAAGTAAACTGTGTAGAGATCTGTTGAAGCTATGACTTGAGTGGATTCCTAGTCTGTGTGTAACTGCAAAAACCTACTAAAGGTGCAGTAACTTGCCTCAACATTTAAATGGTAGATCCTTGAAGATAAACCCATTTTTTTTCGCTATTTGCCTCACTCACAGTAGGCCAAAAAATTGATTTATCTGTGAAAAAATGAAAGCATGATTTTTAGCTCATCTGACATAGTCAGATGCAGCTTGTAGAATCGCTCGCTGCACACTGACACATAAATATATAGCAGGTAAGAAAGCGTGCGCCAGAAATTCGCTTGACGCTCGCTGCATTTCACATGATTACAACACAAATACTCAACCTTCCGACTTCATCGTTGCTGCTAATTGAAGAACAGTGTTCACTTGTTGTAGAAATATTATGTCTCAGTTCGAAACAGAGCTGTGTCACCTAAAATCACGAATGAAATCATGAAATTCTCACGATCGCTAGCACTGCGCACGTGATGTTAATGAACTTAAGTACATGGCTAAAGGCGGCGCACTGCATTTTGGGAAACAACAACGCTGCTTTCCGCCTCCCATGTGAGCCGCGTCAAAGCCGCCAGTGGGGCATTGCTATAGATACCATAGACGGCTCCAACTTTCGCACAAATGACGTCACGAATACGGCCGGTAGGGGTCTCCAGATTCCGAAATTCATTAACATCACGTGCGCAGTGCTAGCAATCGCGAGAATTTCATGATTTCATTCGTGATTTTGCGTGACACAGCTGTGTTTCGAACTGAGACATAATATTTCTACAAGTGAACACTGTTCTTCAATTAGCAGCAAAGATGGAGTCGAAAGGTTGAGTATTTGTGTTGTAATCATGTAAAATGCAGCGAGCGTCGAGCGAATTTCTGGCGCACGCTTTCTTACCTGCTAATGCTATATATTTATGTGCCAGTGTGCAGCGGCAGCAATGACGGCAGCCAGTGTTTGTTGTAGATGAGCATTTGGACGGCATTTAGATGAAATTGTCGGCAATAATACTAATTAATAGGTGAAAGAGAGTATAGAAACATTAAGACTTGGTACTGGTAGTAAATAGATTTCGTATTTATTTAGCATTATATTTTATTGAAACGCTCCAAGTGCCTGTGCCAGTGGCAGTGGCAGTGCCACGAAATTATGGGCGAGTGTGGAATTATGATAATTGATACATTAGTCATTACATGTACGCACGCTTATTATTCTGCGATAATCATGTGTTAATGAACTGGTATGCATCTCTTCAAGACACAACTTGACAATGGGTGGAATTTACATACACCACCTAGGATAGAAGTTGAACTAAAATTAGTAATAATACGATTAGCAACAGTAAAAAATAATCAAATCTAGGCTATTCACCCATGCAAAGAAAGATGTCTCGTGTAGGACCTATGTGTATTTTCCTAGTTTATGTACATGCCTTTGGCAGATTGTCCGAGGAACTACGTAGCTGTGTGAACAACAGGAAAAGAATGTGATCTATTACCTACCTTCTGTTTCCTTGTGTAATCATTACACAGAATTTATTAGACGGCAAAAATGGCCACCTCTTCGTTCCTACTTTACGCCGATGTGACGTCATGCCGTCGGATTCTTCCGTGGTTGTGTCATAATAAATACTCATATGAACATATATTTAAAATACGCGACTCGAGTTACTCTTGAGCTCAGAGTTATTCAAGCTTTCATTAATAAAATTTTGTTTATTCACTTGCAGACATTTGCCGGAAATTTATAATATTTGTAGCATCTTACCAATATTAATATTTTTATACAATGAAGGTTTACACTCAATTTGCAATACAAATTTTACATGTAAATATTTATATGGTCGTAGGTCTACGCTCAGGGCCTACGTACATGCACCGCTGTATAGATAAGACGTAGATATATAAAAACGCAGTGTGTTTAACACAAAAAAACACAGTTGTTATTATCTATGGTTAGGGTAGGGTAAATTGTCAGGGCATGCATTACCTGAAGCAATATATGTACATAACTGGAGATGTACAAAACTGTACATATGTACATAACTGAGATAATGAAACTGAATAATAACGCGCGTAGTATAAATCTGTAAGAAACGTCTGCCGACGCACTTGTGGTTGTAACCTTGTAGATTGTAGCACAATTTTTGCACACCGCATTTTAGTGGAGAAAAATGCTGGGGTACAGCATTTGTGTGCTGCGCACATTTTTGTGTGCGTACATGCATGCGTGCGTGCACGTACTTGACGAATGCACCCACATTATCACATGCCCACGAAAGGGTACAAGAATAAACATGTAAATACTATAATTTATAAAAAGAACAATATACCAAGCATGTTTGCTTATATATATAATATATATATACAATATATATATATATACAATATATTATCAATATATCTAGGTATAGTCGCATCTTGTACACTGGCATCTAAGGAGTTAATAAACGACAAAATGTTTCATTACGTCCTTAAGTTCTTAGTGTCACTTAAAGACAAAAAGACCGTTTGGTCTTTATTCAACTCGCTGACCGGTATGTATGATGTGGCACTTAATTGCTAATCAGCAGCCGATAAACACCGCAGCTTTGCAGTCAAACTTGATACCAATACAATTTTATTATTATAGTATTATATATTTCAGGCTGAGAGACAGCTAATACACAGCGTTTTTATTCACTTCTGAATAATGCTAGAGCACGTATATCAATATATTGATATACGTCTCCTAAGCGTATCACCTTGTAATATACGGTACGGGTTTCTGAACATGACACAGCTGCTGTCAAGTAATTTTTGATTAGTAAATGAATCTGCTGCTCACTTGTTTTCGCTATGGCGTTCCAAGCACATCAACTTGTCAGTTGTTGGTTGATTTCCAAGTTTCCAACGTGGATTTAATGAGATGTAGCACACTTCTTTTTCATATCGTGTGCGCAGTCTCATTTATTTGTAAGGTGTACATATCGCAATGACAGACCAGTACGCTAACAGCTTGGAAGTATCAGGGATCCCTGGTCTAAGGAATCTTAAATATGCTGAACGTTTCGCGATAGATATTGGTAGGTCCTCAACCGCATATCTAATAACTAACGCTGCGGGTATCCGCTGCGCTGGGTAAAATCGTGTACTAATTCACTACTACCAATGAAATTGCGGACCAGCATAAGGATAAACATTGGTAAAAATCGACAATATACATTGTCCACACAATATCCAATATTTACAATCAGTGTAATAGATCAATCAGCATGGGAAAAAACTGTTGAGCGTATGACATTTTAAATATGATACAGCAGAAACCCAAACTTAGAAACGCCCTGAACATAAATAAGTAATATTCAGGGAGCTGATCGCCGCCGCCATAATGTCCTATATCATGAGCAAACCCACTCATTTCAATCGAGTCAATGATAGCCACTTTCAGAATAACCTAACTTGTTAATATATCACTCATATTGAAAATCAAAACTTTGTAGTCCTGGATGCAGAAGCGCCTCAACCGATTATATGTCATGTATTTCAGAATTTTCTAGCCGTAACCGTTTTTGAAGATTAGAACGTGCTAGAAAACAAACAAAACGTAAATCGGGGCAGCAGCGACCTGGACATGCAACTGCGCGGAATACCCGAAATTTTCCGACGACGGGACCAAACTCGAGCATGTTAGGCAGTATAAGACTTCATTAATACACTTATGTTATATAGATTAACTAATGTAGACCATACCCTTACTGTTTTATCTATAGGGGTTTCTTTTTCTGTTAAACTAGATTAAAATCATTGTGAAAATGTACTTGTTTTTCATAAACAAATCTTCCGAAAACAACTTTCCCTGACATGTCGGCTTGGAAAAAGAAACAACGACCCGCAGTACAATCCCAGTCGTCGTCATTCTAGCTATGTTCATCATAACCAATTGAAAAAACAGTTCTTATACCTGCCTGAAAAGCATTTCTGTAAACACCAATTGCCGTGGGTATTCAGCCTAAGAAAATGACTCGGCTAAATTAAGTGTCTTGCTGATCCTGCTGAATCCGTACGGCCGCCGTCATAATTTTCTCGACACGCCGTTCACTAGTGACTAAAGCTCTGGCCTAACGGAGGGATCGGGCACACACTGCTGGAAACTAATCAAGGGCAAGTTTCTGTTTTGATGTCGCGTGTTAAATTATTTATCTAGAAGCTGTTGCTTACAATTTAATTACACATTTATACGAGATTGAAGGCGTTATTGAAGTAATTAGCAATATTTGAAATCGTAAAGATTTGTTGAACGATATACTCGGAATAAGAGACGGATAAAAGTGATAATTAAAATTAATTGAAACGACACTCCATGGCGCCACAACGCCCTGCCCTGGCTATACTCAAAATTAAATACAACAAAACTCATAAAAACGTAATTAACCTGGCTTTGTAATGCATACAACTGCTTCACATGTGAACGGTGGTACCTCAGCTCGGCAACAGTGTACTACCAACAATGCAAAATCATTACTTTTATGCCCCTACTCTGGTGCTGCAGCTGTTTTCAATGAGTGCACCGTAATTGTTGATATTGCCCTGACATCTCAACCTAAGTTTGCTGATACTATTCAGATACACAGTACACAAACGT